CTCGCTCTCTCTCTCTCTCTCTCTCTCTCTCTCGCTCTCTCTCTCTCGCTCTCCTCTCGCTCTCTCTCTCTCTCTCCTCTCTCTCTCTCTCTCTCTCTCTCTCTCTCTCTCTCTCTCTCTCTTCTCTCTCTCTCTCTCCTCTCTCTCTCTCTCTATTCTCTCTCTCCTCTCTTCTCTCTCTCTCTCTTCTCTCTCTCTCTCTCTCTCTCTCTCTCTCTCTCTCTCTCTCTCTCCTCTCTCTCTCTCTCTCTCTCTCTCTCTTCTCCTCCTCTGCTGCCTCGTGAATGTCGCAGGCACGACGAATTACAAAAACAGCACAAACGAGCGCTTTTGCATCTCATGTGTAACGCATCTAGCTTGCTTGTGATAAAATGCCCTATTTGACAAGAGCTAAAACATAGACACGACCTCCACACTGTATCATACAATCAAGTACTGGGTGGGGCAATTTGTCTCATCTGAAAGAAGGTAATTCAGAAGTCATTTGCCAAAAACTGAAGACGTGCTCTCAAAAACTTTACCGTACATATGACGCTGCATCTGTAATAATCTTGGTTTTACACTAACTATTTGCATCAAAAGTGGGTCAAAGTAAAAATAGGTATGCAACTTGTCTCACTCCCGCTACTCAGGTTGAACAAAGAACACGACTGTTTATGTTTTGTGCCGCTACTGGGTGTAGTCTCGTACTTATGAGCGCGTAAATCTGAAAAAGTTCGATTTGCAGCGAAATTTAACCTTTCACCTGGCCTGGTGTAGCCAATTTTTTTACGAGCCAAAACGCAGCTTATTACTAACCGCGAGATCTTGTTGAGAACTATCCGCTGTTTTTCTTTCCGCATGGCTCTTTCTTTCTTAGTTTGGAAACGGTAGGGGCAGGGAACGCACAACCCCCTTCCCTTGGTGAATCAGGGTGAAGGTTAGTACCCATGAATCACTTGGACACATCGCCCATGCCATGCTGTTGCACACACTCAGGAATCGAATAAAGATCATCCAGTTGGGGCTCTCGCCTGCTTTTATGCGCTATGATTGAACCTTGTTTGCGTCGAGCACCACCCCAAGTCACAAAATGTTGATTTGCATTTCACTGGTGCACACGCTTTTTCACGAGCATTTTACGTTTTCAGTGTCTGCGTCAAGTGGCAGTTCATGGTCATCTTGATATATGAAAGAAAGACCTTTAGTCTCTGGTTTTCCGACATCTAGAGTTCCGAGTTGTTGTGCTGAGTCATTGACCTTTCATATGCCAGGGTGTACAGGTTAAACGACATTATAGTGCAAGCGTTGGTTACATTGACAGTGCGTGATGCTTGCACTACGTCATTCAACCGGTGCCTCTGGAATATTGATGGTTGATTATCAGCATAGGAGCTCTAAAGCCTTAACGCTATCGCTATCCTCGCTCGAGCTTTGCGGCATGTCTTCGACGGCTTGGCCTATACATACACCGCCCCTCCTACATGAACAAAAATGTGTTCCTGCTCTTGACGCCAGCGACGCCGGTAGTACCGCCACCTGTGACGTAACGTGGACATGTGTCTCAAAAATATGAAGTTGATTTCAGTTAACTTTTGCTAATTGTTAAGCAATCATGGATCACTTGGACAGAACTCTAATCCCGCAGATTCCAGCTGAACTCACAGCTCTTGCAACGTTATTCTACGCACTCAGGTCATATTGCAGAAATAATCCGGCTGTGACTCCCGCTTACTTTGCTGGGAAAAGAGCTGGCACCGTTGGCGCCAGTTTTGCACCGCCTCCATCCACGTAACAGTGATTTGCATCTTAACGGGCTGGCCTCCACACAGCTCGTTCCCCCCACATATATCTGCCGTGTCTGCCCGTTAAATGTGCAGACATGTCCCGCTCGCGCGCGTGCTGCGACCGACACCGGCATCCGACGGAGGTGAATGTATGTCGCATGGATCGTTACGAAGGTTATCATGGCTTCAGGTTAAGGTGCGATCGTTAGAAGATTAGGATCGTTGCGATCCAAGCAGCTGCCGGTGCTATGCATCTGACCAAAAATATGCACACATACAGGCAGACGTAGGCTCGGAAATTCGTGAGTTATGGACAAGCGGTTTCCGTTTGCTTCACTGCGCGTGGAAACAATGCCGGTGTCACCGATAAGGCCTGGCAAGACCGTAACTGCAGTGATTGCCCCGTGTCTCAACAACGCAACGCTAATCTCAGTTAACATGACCAACCGTCCGTGTAACAATATTCACGCATTTCGGATTTTGAGGAAAAATTCCGCACGCGGCGGGATTTGGCTGCGAGGTATTTTCCTTTTATCGTTCCTCCAGCGCTGCTGCGTGTTTTTCGGACGGTTGGACCAAACCTGGCTGATTCTTCTTCATGTGCGAGGTGACTCGCTGCGGGAATGCCATTATACCCCCCCCCCCCCCCCCCCCCTTATTACACGCGCCGCCGCCAATAGCACTGGTCGTTACAAAAGCTTAAGTCGTTGCAATTCTCAATGTGTAAACTCAACTGAACTCCACGGAGCTTTCTGTGTTGTCGATCTGGCGAAAGCAATGATAACAGGCAGACCGATGCATCGTATGCAGAGACGCGTTTGCCCCTTGCTTCGTCGCCCCGGGGGCAGCACCGTTGGGGTGCGATGACGGCAAAGACAGCACTCGTAACATCATTTATTTTACTGGTCGAAATCAACGTGCTTCACCCGCGTGGATAAATAACCCCGTGCACTTGGCGGCTGGACCAGGACAGCGGCATACAAACAAACAAACAAGCGTACAAACATACAAACACGTCTATGTTGTCGGTACCACCTGCAACGCCTTCTGAAAGCAGGCAATGACGCGTCCCCCGAACGTGGGCATCCGCTGGTACACGATCGCGGCGTGTACGCCCACGCCGACGAGGAGAAAAGCCAAGCCATACAGGTACTCCGTTTTCGGGCGATCCACAATCGAGCTGACGAACAGGTAACACGACGAAAGGAGCAGCAGACACGGGATTGCGGTGGGCACGCGATATGGTCTCCGAGCGTCCGCTCTTGTTCTGCGCATCACCAGCAAGCTGACCATCGTGAGCGCGCGGAAAAGCGAGCTTACAAAGCTCAGCATTCGCATCAGTGCCCCGATGCTTCCCACGGTGATCATGATGCACCCGATGATGGCGTTGAAGATCAGCGCCGGAATGGGAGTGCGACGGCGCACGTGGACGAAGCCCAGCATGTCGACCAGGTGGCCCTGTCGCGCGGCGGCGAAGGTGACTCGGCAGGTTCCCAGCGTCGCGCCATTCAAGGTCCCAAACAACGACAGCGCGACGCCGAGCGGCATCAGGAAGGCGACCGGGCCCAGGGCCCGCTCGCCGAAGGAGAATGCGACGGCCGACGAGTCGAGCAGCTGCTGCGGCGAGAGCACCGTCAGGTAGGCCACGTTGGTCAGGATGTAACAGACGGTGACAACCGGAACGGCGACGAGGATCGCCAGCGGTAGGTTCCTTTCGGGCCGGACCATCTCTTCGGTCAGCGTGTTTAGCAGCTGCCAGCCGCCGTAGGAGAACAGCCCCGTGTAGAACGCAGAAGCGACGTCACCGGGGGAGGACGTGGTGCCCTGGAACCCGGTGGCCAAGTGCTGGCTGTTGCCCTGTGCCAACGAGTACGCGCCGGCCACCAAGATGATGCCAATCGACGTGAGCTTTGCCACCGTGAAGAGGTTCTGCACACGCGTGGCCCATGCCACGCTGTAGCAGTTGATGAAGACGACGAAGCAGTACGTGACGACGGCAACCAGGGACACGCCCAGCGGAGCGGGACTGCAGGGGGCGCCGAAGAACGGCTGGACGCAGTACTCAGCGAATGCGAGGCTGAGGATGGCCACCAATGCCGGGTGCATGATCAGCGTGTCCATCCAGGCACTGAGAAAGGCGGGCAGCGGGCCGAAGAAGTGGTGCAGCGGGCCCAGGCCGCGCAGCAGGTAGACGTAGTCGCCGCCCGCCTCGGGCAGCAGCAGACCCAGCTCGATGTAGCAGAGCGCGTCGAGCAAGGAGTACACGCCGCAGCCGAGCCACACCAGCAGCGAGAGCGCTACCGATCCGGACATGCGTAGCACGCCCTTCGGCGAGATAAAGATGCCGGAGCCGATGGTGGTTCCGACGATAATGGCCACGCCGGAGAAACCATCGATGGTGCGCAACAGCGGCACCCCGGCCCCGCTTGGGGCCGGGGCTGCCGCCGTCCGGGCGCCGCCGGCGACAGGTGGTGGGCACGCGCCCACGGCCGGCGGCCCACAGGCGGACGAAGATTCTCGCCGACGCACCGACTCGGACGCACCGGATGGTAGCTTACCGTCGCCATCGATGTACGCGTGGTTGTCCATGGCAGCGAAGTGGAACTCGGTGTTCAGTTAGATGCGTAATCAGCGCCGATAACGCTGACGGTGCAGTGGTGTTGACGCCTGACGTTCCAGGCTTCTAGGCGCTATTCACCAACACTGCTGCTGCGGGTCCATCACAGTACTGCTTGGCTTCACCGGTACACATCGTCTGCACCAGCCCCCAGTCCAAGCTCACTCTTGTCGGTGCCGCCCTTGAATGTGAGCCTCACTGACCGGCTCAGAAACCCGTTCCGCGATTGCACTGTGCAAGCTGCGTTGCTGATTGGTTGGATGGTGATGTGTCTAAATCCCAGTAATTTCCATTCCTTATTTCTAAAACATTTTGTAATGATTTTGGAGAGCCTTTGAACAGGAATACTAGAAGGACGACTTGATAACTTTTAAGCTCTGGCGCATAAAATACGGGCAAAGGTTCTATGCCCCCTCGCGGCGTTCGTGAGGGGGCATAGTTCGGGGAGTCACGGAACTTCAGCAAAGCGCGGCAAGGGCAGGGGGTTGGACAGCACAACGCGGGCTTTTTGATTGAAGGTCAGCGTCCACGCTAAGCTGTGCTTGATGTGTGTACCCGGACGCCAGCATCCGATCGTGAGCGTGCCGAACACTCGGTTCGGTCCGCCGCGCTCTCTGATGTCACCTGACCTTAAGCGCGGCGCTGCCGTGGCTGAGCTACGTGGACGGACTAGGGGCGGACGCCGCGTGGGGTTAAGGTGAGGTTACAGATTATGCTGAAACTTTTAAAATATATTTGAAAGGCGTTGTCACGGGGGTATTCTTCTGCGCAGAAAGTGCGCAACTAGTGGAAGGGGGTGGGAAATTTCCAAAAATACGTAGCGTAATTTATGGACGACCCCTAATGGGCAGTAGCACAGGCAGGGAACACAGGTGGCACGCACCCTCAATCATCCGGTGCATGCTCCGGAAAATACGAGCAGTCTGAAACCAGTCTGAGTGATATAAGCACATCCTCCATGATAAAAACGCATAGCGACGTTCGAAGTGGCTATGTCACATTCTTTTTTAAAGTTGTTATTGCTAGGCTACCGTAATCAATGTTCGATATCAATCGCGAGTCCGCTGATATATATATATATATATATATATATATATATATATATGCTCATATAGAGAGAACATCGATGTTCTCTGACCGTAGACAAAGTTGCCTGAATATCCCACAGGTGCAGTATTCTCAACAACAAAAGCGTGAATAACTATAGATCAATTTAAGTCGATTGGATAGTTACCATGCCTTATATTGCATAAGCACTCAGCATCTCGGTTTATAAGGGCGCTTTGATTATGGCTAGCACAGGCAAGCAAAGCCGTTGTTGTAATCAGGGCAAGAAAAGAAACACAATGGCAAAGAGAAAAATGGTCATGCCTGCATCCTGCAAAAACCTCAGGTAGTGGGTCGCTCAATCATGTTTGCCACGTTTGTCATGTCGTGTCAATCCTGTTTGAACATAACCTACTGTCCGAAATTACAACGTATGTTGCTTTGGCATATGTGAGCTGTTGATTCTGATTTAATTGCGCACCTACCTGCAGATCAGCGAGGCTGAAAACTTGTTTGTACCTTAGAACTTTCTGAACATGAGTCGTTACACTAGTTGCTCTTGAATAAGTGACTAGTGTAGTCATACAACACTCAATGTTTACACACGGCACGGCTTGGGAGCGGGCGTTTACAGCAAGCTTCCTAGGAGTAATGTAACGGCCATTTGTTCACCGATTTGTTCACCGATGAGCTCCGATCTATCTGAAAACAAATATTTTGATCAATTTTAACACGAGAACATCGGAAAGGACGCCTATTCTTCAATACTATATCACCAAAGTTCACCAGCTGATTTAAATTGCAAACATCGGAATGTTCACAAACGCAAGACCTACGAGCCGTCAAAAAGTTATGATCTTTAAATGCACCTTTCACGGTAAAGCTCAGGCTCCAAGCACAAGGAACTCCATGTCGCCAAAAATTATCGACCAGTGCTAGCTTTTCAAACATCAAAATACCCACAAGCGCAAAATCTAGCGTCCCTCTAAAAGTCCTGATCTCTCAAGGGAACTTTCAACGTCAAACTCAGGCTGAAGGGAAAGAAACTCCTTACCATCTAAAAAACTAACACACAATTTTGAACTTGCAAGCACCAGAATGTTCATCAAATAAGGAACAAGCGTCCGCTAAAAAGTTCTGGCGTATCAAGGTCACCCTCCAAGGTCAAAGTAAGGCTCAAATGAGAGAAGCTTTAGTCATATATTCAGCGATTTTTCAACGAGTTCCGATTGCTCTGAAAGCACGTCACATGGTCAATTGTAAAACAACATCGAAAATAAAGTTTATTTCGCAACATCATGCGACCTTCAAAATCACAAGCAAGGCCAAAGGACGAAAACTCAATATCACCAAAAAAGTCGCCACCAATTTTGAATTTGCAAGCACCAGGATATTCACAAGCGTGAGATATAGCGTCCGGCAAGAAGTCCTGACTTCTCAAGGTCACCCTTCAAGTTCAACCTCAGACTCGAAGGATGAGAAACTCCATATCACCAAAAAATTACCGGCCGATTTTTAATTTGCATGCATTAAAATATTCACAACCGCGAGAACTAGAGTACGTCAAAAAGTCCTGACCTTTCAAAGTCACTCTTAAAGGTAAAACTTATGCTTGAAGAACGAAGGACTCCATATCACCAAACAACTAACGGTGATTTAAAATTTTCAAGCATCAGAAAATTCACTAGCGCATGAAATAGCGTCCGTCAAAAATCCTGAACTGTCAAAGTAATCTTTCAGCGTTAAATTCAAGCTCAAAGAAAGGGGAGCTCCATGTCACCAAAAATAGCAGTCAATTTTAAACTTTCAAGCAGCACAATAATCACAATAGTGGGAACTAGCGCCAGTCAAGAAGTCCTGAGCTGTTGAGGTTAACATTCAAGGTCAAAGTAAGGCTTAAATGACGGGTATATTTGGTAATGCATTCAACAATTTATTCAGCGACGCGTTCCGATTTCTGTGAATTACGTCACGTGGTCAATTATGGCACGAGCACGTCGGGAAGGACGCTTTTGCAATATCATGTGACCTTCAAGACCAAAGTGAAGGTCAAAGGACGGAAGGCGGCTCCATATCACCAGAGAATGGCCGGCCGATTTTAAATTTGCAAGCACCATATTATTCACAAGCGCAAGAACTAGCGTCCGTCAAAAAGTCCTGGCCCTTCAAGGTCATCCTTTAAGGACAAAATCAGATCCAAAGGGCGTGGAGCTCCGAATCATCAGAACAATTGCCGGCCAATTTCAACTTTTTGAGCATCAAACTCTTCACAAGCGAAAGAACTAGTATTCGGCAAAAAACTGTGTTTGCTCAAGGCTGCCCAACAATGTGGACGTCAGGCTCATTTCTGGATGACCTCTCACGCAATATTTTATGATGGTATTTAAGGTTGGTCTGTTGTGTTTACCGTTGCCAAGTGTATAGTCCTTTTGAGCAGTTGTCTGTGGCCATTACAATTTTTTGGAAATTTGACGAACATGCCTCAACGAGAAGTAAATCCTGTTTGTTGTTCTATTGTCATGATTTACCTCATGACTTGTTTTTAGAAAAATCGGAACCCATCGCTGAATAAATTTAAAAATTTGCCAAAGTTTCCCGTCATTTGAGCCTGGTTAACCTTGAAGGGTGACCTTGAGAGGGCAGAACTTTTTTATGGACGCTGGTTCTTGTGTTTGTAAGTGTTATGACGCTTAGCAATTTATTTAAGGCCGGCCTGTGGCTTTTTTGGTGATATGGAGTGCCTCGTCTTTTGACCCAGCATTTCATCTTGAAAGTCAGATGATATTGCAAAAATCGTCCTTTTCGATGTTCTCGTGTCATACTTGACGATATGACGTGTTTTCGGAGTAATCAAAACTCGAATGAATCGCTGAACAGATCGCCTAGTCTCCTTCCTTTGAGCCTTAGTTCGACCTCTGTTGGAAACCTTGAGGGTAATTTCGAGGGGTAACTTCGAAAGGTCAGGACTTTTTTGACGGACGCTAGCTCCTTATGTGATGAAAATTATGAGATTCGAAAGCTTCAAATTGGCCGGTAATTTTTAGGGAAATAGATTTACCCGTCCTTTGAGCCTGCCTTTGAAGTTGAAAGGTGACCTTGAGAGGTCAGGACATTTTGAAGGTCGCTAGTTCTTGCGGTTAGGTGTATTCTGATGCTTGCAGGTTTAAAATAGGCTGGTGTTTTTTTCGTGACATGGAGTTCTCCGTCTTTTGACCTTGCTTTTGACTTTAAAGGTTCTCGGATATTATAAGATGAGTATCATTATCGATGCTGTTTTGCTAAAATTGATGTAAAGTCTCGCTTCCAGAGAATCGGAACTCGTCGCCGAATAAATCGTTGAATAAATCGCCAACTTCGCGGGCACCCTAGCGGCCGCACACTCGGTGAGTTCTTCGCCAAGTGGAGAGCCATGAAATGCTGCTCACTGCGCCCCCCCCCCCCCCTTCCAGCATCAGCGTGGATCGCGCCTGCCGCAGAGTAAAGGATCAGTGGAGAACAATTTGCCCCGGGGACTGCGGAGCAGACCTGCAGGAGCCGACCGATTCACCCTTTAGTGTATCGCAGTGCTTAGGTACACCAGGAAACCTCCGAGGATCGCCGACCCACTATGGGCTACCGCGCCGTGACCAAGGCCGCCACGAAAGGGAGGCGACCCGCTTATTACCATGGCCCGACTCCGGAGTAACCCGCGCCCGCGGACACGCGCGGCCGCGCCAGAAACACAGGAATGCGTCAACGGTTGCTGGGGACCTCTGCAGCACGACCGCGGAGGTCACGCTGCTCGGTCGCGTATCTGCGGCCGAGCCAGCGTGAACCCAGCACCGCTGCAACACGGTCGTGGGGGAAGGGGGGGGGGGGGTGGACGAGCCGGCGTGAACCCAGCACGCCGGCCGAGCCTGCGTGTTGAGAGATGGAGGGGAGGTGA